AAGCTCGGCGAACTAATTCAGCTCAGCAGCTACCCCACTTTTAGACCCTAATTGGCTGGAGATTTTGCCGAGTGCTTGGTGTTCAGCGAGTTCATATGCGAGACGGATCGGCCCGCGATCAGTTTACCCCGAACTCCATCGCGTTAACTACTTGAGAAGGATTTGAGATATCAACCAACACCATCACAGCGAAATAACAACGAGGTAATACAAACTTAGAATACTTATGAAGTTCTTGGCTGTTTAACTTAGTCTTTACCTAGCTCTTTCGGTGACATTTGAGGGACAAGGGATGAGCCTTGGAATCTATCCCTAATAAGGCGACAAACGGAGGAAATCCATAGATGAATTCAAGAACACAGATCAATTTATTTCCTCTTGACGTTACAGTGAAATGAATGCTGGTTTATTTCAAAAGCAATCATGCAAATTTAGGATCGAATAAATAGGCCGATGTGCTGCACGAAGACCGGGAATCTCGCCTTCAAGAGTAGACATCCATATCGCGCTATTTCAATGATAATATTGAGTAAGCTTGCCCTTTTAACTTGGTCTGAGCATTCCACATATTTCGACATGAGCCCTTAAGATTACTGATAACGCAAAGATCAGCTCACCTGATATCCATTCGTTTGAATACCATCATCATAATTTCAATACTTACCATGACATTCAAGCAGATTCCCCGGCCGCGCCATGAGGGGAGGATGGATCTTTGTAATCTCGTGAGTTGACAGATACTGAATCACAAACAGGAAGTTATGGGACACTCAAGAGCTTGAGTGCCTCATCATATGATAATGTATCGGCCTCATAGGATTTTATCTAAAGATGGAAGAGTTGTTCCTCAGAAATTCCTGGCCATAGAAAAACGCCCAGCTCGACCTAATGGGCCCATCTGTATGGGCCTGATTAATAGAAACAAACCAGTGACGGCAATCCATTCATTAAATTCAATCGCAACTATATCGTTGTCGGAAATTTCAATCAGGCTTGAACGGGATGTTCATTTCTTGCTCAGATGATAACAAGACGAAAATGAGGTCAACGAATCACACTGAATAGCATATTTGAAGGACCTCTGCGGAGATAGTCGTATAAGTGTAACAGGCATTGACAGTTTACGTGCGGAATCAAAATGCCACAGATCGGGAGTAATGGTGCAATCCGCTGTGTAAAACGTCAGTTTTGTCCCGATGGTTGAGAGGGGACTGGTACGCCACCACACCGCCTTCTCTCAAAAGTGGCAGAATAAAGAAATTGAAAAGCACAACAAAACATTTTTTGCTCTCAAATTCACCCCGCTAAAAACGCATAATCGAACGATTCCCACCCCAATTCGAAATGTCTGAAAATGACACATATCAGACCCCGCTGGCTTCGCGATATGCGAGTAAGTGGGCATTCAATTTAGGCTAATGACGTTTCTTACCCATCTAATCTGCGACATTAGGCAAGGAGATGAAAACAATCTTCTCCGCCCGCACCCGCGCAACAACATGGCGGAAATTGTGGATTTGGCTTGCAGAGGCCGAAAAAGAGTTAGGAATTAGTATATCCGATGAAGCTATTGCCCAGATGAAGGCAAATGTGGTGATGACGGATCATTGCTTCAAGGTTTCCGCGGAGGAGGAAAAACGGCGTCGACATGATGTGATGGCCCACGTTTACGTATGTGCATTTCTCGCAGCACCTACCCTTTTAATTCGGTGGATATACGGTGCTTACGCTTTACAATCAACATAATAAAAATACTACGGAGTATTAATGCGGGATTTATCTCAGGCTTTTGGCCAAGTCGCCCCAGCCGCTGCAGGAATCATTCATCTCGGAGCTACCTCTTGTTATTGCACAGATAATGGTGACCTGATTAATATTCGTGACGGTCTCGATGTCCTTCTTCCCAAACTTGCGGTGGTTATTCACAAACTGTCTCAATTCGCCCTGGAATATAAGGATATGCCAACTCTTGGCTATACTCATTACCAACCCGCACAGCTCATCACTGTCGGTCGTCGTGCCGCTCAGTGGGTACAAGACCTCCTCATGGACCTTGAAGACATCCAGCGCACAAGGAAGGATCTCAAATTCCGTGGCGCTCAAGGAACTACCGGAACTCAAGCTAGTTTCATGGAGATTTTCCAAAACGATCGGGCAAAGATTGACAAATTGAATGAAATTATTTGCGCCAAAGCAGGATTTCCCTCTTGCTACCCGATCTCTACACAAACATACACCCGCAAGGTCGACCTGCGTGTTGCGAATGCTCTCTCTGCATTTGGAACCACGGTTCAGAGAATTACGGGCGACATTAGACATCTTGCTTCGCAGAAGGAAATGGAAGAACCGTTTGAGAAGGATCAAATTGGATCTTCTGCCATGGCTTACAAGCGTAACCCTATGCGTTGCGAACGTATTGCAAGTCTGGGACGCCACCTGGCAAACCTCAATAAAAATGCTGGGGATACATATGCGCAGCAATGGTTCGAGCGTACCCTTGATGATAGTGCTATTCGCCGTATTTATATCCCGGAGATGTTTTTAAGTGCTGACTCCATTCTCATGACATTGGATAATGTGGTATCTGGACTTGTTGTATACCCAGCCAGAATTCACAGCCGGTTGATGGAAGGTATGACATAATAGCTTTTACTCCACAACTTATCTTGAACCCAGAAACCGCTGACAAGAGGACAGAACTGCCCTTCATGGCAACTGAGACTATTCTTATGAAAATGGTATCACTTGGGAAATCGCGACAGGACGCCCATGAGGAAATCCGGGTGCTGTCACACCAAGCAAGCGATGTAGTCAAGAACCAGGGTGGAGCAAACGACCTGATTGAGAGAATCAAGAAATCAGAGTTCTTTGCCCCTGTAGCTGGGGAAGTCGATCAGTTATTGGATCCAAAGAACTTCATTGGCAGATGTCCTGAACAGGTTGAGAAATTCTGTGGGCCGAACGGAGAGGTCCAGAAAGCGTTGGAGCCTTATAAGAAAATGATCGACCCGAGCAAAGTTTCTGAGCTTTCCGTCTGATTACCACTGGTGAGTTTGTCGTTTCTATTTCGAAACACAATTTTGGTCCAAGAAAGTGTATATGTACGCGTGTTGGAAGTATGCTGTTGTACGGCGTTTTCTTGCTCGTAGCGTGGCATATTTTCCCCCGGTCTACCACTTATATAGACCCAAAAAAAAAAAAAAAAAAAAAAAAAAAAAAATTCGAATGCCATTTTATCTAAATCTGTACTCGTGCCATACTAACCATTGCTACCAATTGCACCATTACAAAATTATTTTAATCAGCTATCTTGATCCCTAGGTAAATATATTCGTCCCCCACCGCACCATTCGGAAGAATATCTGCAATTCCAACTAAGCAGGTGCATGGGAGTATGAGCTGCTTGTGAGACAATTAGTCTCTCTATAACCTAATCACTTTTTATACAAATTGAAATAGCCTTCTTCCTCCCTTCTATGCCATTTCCTATGGTTGTGCACAGCAAGGATTGTTTTTAAACTCAGCCGTTCCACATTGGTTGTCGAAAATTGGCAGAGCAAATACCTTCTAAATATGGGGGGGGGAAATTAGTTCCCATTGTATAGAAGTGGGATGGTCAAGCTATGGGATCTACTGGCATTACCTAACTACTTGATAGGTCTATCAATATAATTTCAAAACAGGCAGCACATCTTCAGCGTTAACCCCGAATGTCAGAAGCATACAAAACAACGAATTCAACCGTCCCAATTCGCATGGAATCAACACGAATTTCACAATTCACATGTAAAAGGAGCAACCAACCCCCTAGGGAATCTATGGAAAACCGGTTCATTTAATCATACATTCCCGACACTTCTACCTACAAACTTCTCCTCAATACACCTAGAGCACCGCAACCCGATTGTGTTCCCTACGCTCAGTTCCACATCTTTCCCCAGACAAGGGTAGTGTCGGGATTAGACATTGTTAGTGATTCCGCCTCTGGCATACAGGGAGAGGGAAGCAATCTTTACCACGCGCTGCTCTGATTGAGATCTCGCTCCCAATGAGTTTGTGGCAGCCGATGCTGAACCTTTAAAACGTCGGAAGTTTGGCAGAGATATTCCAGGGATCATGCCGCCTCCGCAAAAGCATTTTATTTTAATTATGTATGGTTCGCTCTTGCACGAGAGACGATGGCACAATCCTACGCGGTTGATAATAGGTGTATGGAGGTTTCATCCCACACTTAAGACCACGGAAGGTCTTTGGGCATTTACCCGCAGCATCCGGACCAGCGATTGACCTCTTTTGCATTTGTGTCTTTGCTGATTTGGTAACCGATTGGGGACACTCCGATAGGTAGGAAATATATTCTCCTTGTATGATCTTTTGACAATCTACTACTCAGAAACGGTCCGAAATCTACACACATTTGGATATTTTCAATTGGTTCAATTGTATTTTTTGCTTATGCTCAAGAAGAGTCGTCAATGCAGGGAGTCGTCGAAATGAGCTCGAGATAAAAACAACTGCTGCACCAATAAGATACCTGGGTGAAAAGTTACTGCGTAATGATGACTGCCGGCCAGTGATTTCTGAAAGTTATGCAATCCGAAAATTTTTCACATGAGATACACTTAATAGCTTCATGCTTCAAAAAGTCAACCAGTGGTGAACTTCTGTGAACCTTTCACCAGAGGTAAGGAATCCCCCCCGTACCCCACTTGACACATGCGAAATTGGGGATTTCAGCGCAATCAGGGGTTAATATCAGCTTCATGCATGGAAGTAGCCGACAGGTTGTGAGAAATCATAGCCTCGGTCTGAATTTCTGTATGTCATCGAGCTATACTTCGAAAATCCAGGGGAATAGATCCAGGCAGTTTTGAGCTGATGTCGAACAAGGATGGTTTTAGACAAAACTCTGAGACGCAAAGTCACACTTTGGGAATTATTTCCGCAATACTTGAGAGATTTAAATGGTATAATTATGACCGGGGTATAACCTGATTATTTTAGTGGATTCCGCTACCGACGAGAAACCCTGGGGTTGGGCGGATAAGATTGTGCGGGATCAAGGATGGAAAAGTTACCGGGTGTCGTCTGACACTTTCTAATAAGCGTCGCGCATTTTGAGCAGCAAGGGATTCCGTATCAATGGCATTTACGATAATATCACCGAAAGACCCCTACGTGGGCACGGAGGTTGGAAGTTAAATTATGGCAGGAGGAGGCGGATTTAAACCTGCGCCGTTTCTGCTTTGCGCGTTCCCACCCAGCGGCTATCGGAGATGTGTTGAGAACGACAAGAACTGTATACAACAGTTAGTTATTAATTAACTAGTTAACTAGTTAACTAACTTAATCCAAAGGATAGTTAAGTTATCCGGAGCTGTTCCTATCTCCCCAAACACTCTTTTAACAAAGATCACAATAACTACAGTCGTTGATATTCTGACTGCAGCTCTCAATGTCATCATATCAGCAACCTGAGGACACCGTGCTCAGTTGCTGCTGCGAAAGATAACTTACCGGAGTAAATTCAGCTTCCCTTCCCGGCTCACGATACCTAGGAACGCCACCCTGTTGGAGGGGTCCATCCCTGAAGCGGCCTATGAAGGTTGTGATTGGTAGGAATTGCCTTGGAAGCACGGAGCTTAAGCTGAATATATCTTAGGCATGCCCGAAGCGGCACACTCACTTTAGTACAACTTTGTCTATTAACTTACTCGCTTAGTTAAACTATGTTATTTCCAATCAGCGGATGACTAACAATTATAGGTAAGTTATCTACAAACCCAGGCCGTTGGCCCACAACGACCGAGGAGACTTGCCCCGCCATTCAAGCTTTCTAGGCTCTGGCGGACCCAAGGGCCGTCGAAGTAACTTTAGGCTTTCCCGGCCAAAAAAACAACCTTCCAGGATCCTTGGCAACCAGCGGAGGAAGGGTTGTATCGACCGTTGGGATCGGCATGGAGCGGCACACAACATGTCGGGATTCGCCTAACGCAATTTGAACAGCAAAAGAAAAGACTCTTTTTCATAAGAATATGACGTTTCCCCGTCCGTTTTCATTTCCCCCATCGCGTGGAAATCTTGATTATCATTGATTATCATCTCTTCAGCTTCGCCCATGATGGTCGTTCTATAGTTTACCTGACTGGATTCAACATCCTATGGTTGAGTTTGAAGTACAAGAGGGAACTTGTTTTTGTTTGAGTGGCACACGGACAATCAACTGGAACCCTCTTTGACTATCAAGATTTGCTGTACATCCAAACAAGCTGAAATCCGCTCAAATATCAGGTTTGTGCTTGCTACTCCGCAACCACTTAACCTCAGGACTCAGCGCCCACAAAACTCGACCCCACGATTCTAATATAGAATTTGCAATTTCCACATCGTGGCCGGAGGAACCTTTAATTTCGCCAGCATTGAACAACCGTCACAATGGCTTCTCAGACCACAGAAATCTCGATGTCGCGATCCCCAGATCCGGCACTCGACCCCGCTCACCAGCACCGCCATCCGCACCGTCACCATTCCACACTCTCAGAGAAGAGCTGCGAGGACGAAGTCGTTTACACCAAGGGCTTTGATGAATCCAACATTCCGGAACCGAGTCCTCTGGATCATGGCAGCCAGAACCCGTCAGACATGAATCCAACTGAGGATATTGAGGCAGGGCAGGTAGAGGTAGATGAAGAGAAGAAGAACATATTCAGCCACATCTGGATACGGTACAGACCTCAAGTTATCATGGCGATCCATGCTGCGCTATGGATCTTGTTTACTGGGTGAGTGCTCTATTCCTATTATTATGCACATGACTTTCCATTCATATATGGGAGTTCGATATCGCTCTCTGTTGGGCCTTAGTAACAAAGCATCCAATCAAACCTAGCTGGTGGATTGCTGGTCTGATTCTTCGTCGCAAGGAGCTGGGATGGGTGGTGCCTTTCCTAGTCTACCTGGCAATATCCCTACGGTTGCTCTTTTTCTACGTCCCTATCTCTATCGTTACCAGGCCGTTGCGTTGGGTTTGGCGCCATACTGCGACACCATTCGTTGCCTTTATCCCTGACAAATTCAAGACTCCACTGGGCGCTCTAGTGGTGATTGCGATATTTCTGGTTGGATCTTTCGCTTCTGAAGAATCCGCGGATAATAACAGAGAAAACCGCGCTGTCAGCCTCTTTGGACTGGTGGTGCTCATGTTCACACTATGGGCTACATCGAACAACCGCAAGAAGATAGTATGGCGCACCGTCCTTGTTGGCATGTTGGTGCAATTCCTCATGGCTCTTTTTGTCTTGCGAACCAAGGCTGGATATGATATCTTCAGTTTCATCTCGAGCTTAGCGACGGCACTACTTGGTTTTGCAGGTCAAGGAACAGCGTTTCTTACAGCAGCTTCGGTTACGGAAAACATCCATTGGTTCCTGGTCACTGTTATCCCTGCTATCATTTTCTTCGTCTCCCTGGTACAGCTGCTCTATTACATCGGATTTATTCAGTGGTTCATCGGCAAGTTTGCCACATTTTTCTTCTGGTCCATGCGAGTATCTGGCGCGGAAGCTGTTGTGGCAGCTGCGTCTCCCTTCATCGGCCAAGGGGAGTCTGCCATGTTGATTCGCCCATTTATTAATCACCTAACGATGGCTGAAATTCACCAAATTATGTGTTCGGGGTTTGCCACAATTGCCGGAAGCGTTCTCATTGCTTACATCGGTATCGGTGTAAACCCTCAAGCCCTAATATCGTCCTGTGTGATGAGCATCCCTGCCTCCCTGGCGGTTTCTAAAATGAGATATCCCGAAACCGAGGAAACGTTGACTGCCGGTCGTGTGGTCATCCCTGATGACGACGAACATCGTGCCTCCAACGCACTACACGCATTTGCGAACGGTGCATGGCTAGGTCTGAAAATTGGAGCTGTGATTATGGCTACCCTTCTCTGTATCATCTCCCTGGTTGGTTTGGTCAATGGTCTCCTAACCTGGTGGGGCCATTACCTCAATATCAACGATCCTCCTCTAACCCTCCAGATGATCATGGGCTATTTATGTTATCCGATCTCTTTCTTGCTCGGAGTATCCCGCGTCAATGAAGATATTTATAAAGTCGCAAAGCTAATCGGGTTGAAGCTAATTACTGTAAGGACAACACTCCGGAAGCGCGTCCTTCGCCCCCTTTCTCTTTCTCTCTCTCTTTTTCTTAGAACAAGTTATTATCGTATATGATTATCCTGATCGCTAACCAAATTACGCATACAGAATGAATTCGTCGCCTACGACCAGTTGCAGAACAATGTATACTACGCTGACCTCACCCCTCGCTCACGTCTTATCGCCACCTACGCCCTGTGCGGTTTCGCAAACATCGGATCCCTGGGTAACCAAATCGGTGTTCTCTCGCAGCTTGCGCCTGGACGAAGCGGAGACGTGACCCGCGTTGCCATGAGTGCCATGTTAACAGGCGCGCTGAGCACATTTAGCAGCGCGAGTATTGCCGGTCTTCTCGTTACGAACCAAGCACAGTTCGCTAATCATGGCACTGCTCAATGAAGACCTTTTCTATGAGGTTTATTCTTTGCTTATGGGCGCAATTATGGCAAAACGTCCGACGAAATCTTTAGTGGTCTATTTGGCTAATACCCTTGTCGTTTTTGTTCCCTTTTCGTTCTAACTATATATCCTCCGTACAGATTGCTCTTATTCAAACCCAGCCAGCGCTGCTCCGGATATTCATATATCTATGTCCATGGTGTCTGCATGGTGATGAATGATTTTGAACATCTGCGTGTGTTATGATCTAAGGGCGTTCTTTGCTTGTCACTCATAAAAAAGCAACCTGGGAAATCACTTTAATTAACCATTTTAGTATCATTCCAAGTTTGCCTTTACAAGCACCATAAAGTATTACCGTTCACATACCCAACTGCCAGAACAGAGAGCAAAGATGCCAGAGACGATGCTGTAGGTTAAAACCTGAGTTGAGTTATGAACCTTGGCATCTCAGCGTGCTGCTCGATCTCGCGATCCACAGTTTTGGAGCCACTCTAACTTTAGCGGGGGCATGGCAGGAAGCCTAAATCAACAACTTCAAGACTCCTCCTTGTTCCACATAAAAACGGATGAAATTCAGCCCAGATTTCACTTTCAAACTAGAAATGGTTGGCGCTCTACTCAATATCTTTATCGTTAATTACTTTTTTTTATTTTTATTTTTATTTTCATTTGTTTTATAACGTGGGGGAGGAGGTGGATATTGCTATCCAATATAGAATATGCAGAACCAAGATCTCCTAAAGGGATCGCCGGGTAAGTATTAGGGGAAACAGAACAATGGAAAACTACGAGAATGACTTGCACAATGGAATGTAGATCATGTGACAGAATGGTCCAACAGCTCGACAAACAATCTAATGCTACGCACGCATAATAAACTGCATAGGTATGCATCGTGGGTGAATAACATTGTGTAATTATGTAGGGGCATTTCTGCTTCCTATTTGATTCCTCACAGACTGGATCACGGCTTTTTTTGAACCTCAAAAGTCATTGTTGAGATGTGACCTGGAATTGTGATCATGATATCTGAATAAATACATATTACCAGTATTTTCACAGGATTAGTTTGACATGTATCTCAACATCCTCCACTGCTATCAGAAGTAGTTTGTCAATTGAGAGGTGCATGAAGGAAGACTTCAAAAAACTGTAATTGTAAAAGAAAACAGTGTAATGAGTTCATGCAGTCAGACAGTATTAATTCGAATTAATTTGAAGAGTAACTGACTACATATGAAATACTGTGGCTAGATTGTAGTGTGTGCTGAATCATTTCTCTTCTGAATGACTTATACTTGGATCAAGAAGAGAGAGAGAAAACGATGAAGAAAAAGACAAGATACTGGGCTTTTTCAATGTAAAGAAAATTCATCATTCATTCTGTAAATCCAGGAATGCAGTCTTTATCCCTCCATGCATTCACCCCACCCTCAGCTGTAGACATCCAATGATAAATAGTAAATCCAGCTCCAGCAAAAACATTCACAGATCGTCGAGGCCGAAAGGGCCAATCCATGTCGCCAAAAAGAGAAAAGTAAAAGGGGGCATGGATTGTAATCAATCAATCGGGCAAAAAGTTGGATCTAACATCCCAAGAAGCAAAATGGAGAGCATCAGTTCCTTCACGGACCGTGGCAATGTACCTAGCATATATTTAACCGTGAATTGCCATGTTGAGTCCTGGCTTGAAGAGAGACTTCAGTAACTAATTTGTTGCCATGGAAGCGTCGTGTCTCATTATGAATATTTTCTTGACAAATTCCAGGCGGGTTGGTGAGTCGAGACAGAGGGAAATAGAGATAGCAGCGATCGAAATCCTGCATTCTGAGGTGGTTTATGCGTGGTAACGATGGGGCGAATTCAAGGGGGCGTTTCTCGTTCGATTTCCATCCCTTGGCCTGTCTTAAATCTACACCCTGCCCTTGAGGGGTATTTTCCTTTCTCTACCAGAGCTGTAGCATGGTATCTACAATAATATCTCTAGTCGCATCTATCGTCCGAATGTTTTGTTAAGCAACCCCTGCTACATAAATGTAATGTTGCTCTGTATAGGTATCCGTCAAATTGAGGAGGAGTGGAAACATGGTCTAATGGCAACAATCACAGAATCAAGCAGCATCAACACAAATAATGATATATCAGACAAGAGACTTTCAGCTAAGACTAAGTCAAATATGGACATGAATTTGTAGGTTTTTTTTTTCACAAACTTGAGAAATGAATTTTCTGTTTTCCAATCAAGAGCAATCCATAGAAAATCCAACGATAGGATGGAGGGTTAAGAAAGTCACTGGGATCCCAACTCCCTGTCCCGCAAGAAAAGAAAGAAGGAAAAGGGTAGAAAAAAGCAATATGCATAGGTATCATCATCATGTAGCAGAATTGAAAGCGGAACCTCTTCTCCAAGGGCCCAGACAGAAGAACGTGAAGGAGACAGCCTGAGACACGACCACAATTATTCACCATCCTCCCAAGAAACAAAGTCGAATTCCATCCAAGCCACAATAAGCCAGCCGATAACCAAAAACAGACCTTGCCAACTCCATGCTTCGAAATGGTGGAGGAGAAAAACCGCAGGGGAAGTTACGCATCACCCTATTTACGAGCACCTGCGGTCCGTCAAAAGCCAACCTAAAAGAAAACTACGCACGGTGATCATTGTTGGCCCTCATAAACTGTTGATAATAGACAGGGAGGCCCCGATATCTATTCACCGGCTTCAATTTCGCGATGGCGCGCGAGAACATGACGTTTATATTCCTCCGGGTTGTTATCCCACAATTCTGCAGCTTGACCGTTGAGAGGGCTTGCACTACATGCAGGCAAACAACAATCGTCAGCAAATATCCATTTGCAAGAAATCACAAAAGAAAAGTAGAGAGAAGTGATAAAGAGGTAAAAACCGACTTATTTGGTTCCCCGAGCAAACTCTGCAAACTCAACAGCACACTCTGCACGTTGTAGACCGCACTCCACTTATCCTTCAGGATGTCGAGACAGATGCGTCCGGAGAAATCGACGTTCGGATGGTAGATGGGGGTTTTGAAGAGGACTGTAGGAGGTGCATAGGGATAGTTGGTAGGAAAAGCAAACGAGAGCTTGAATGTGAGGCCTTCATAGGGTGTTTCGGTTGGGCCACTGATTGTCGCCGTCCAGGAGAGTAGGTTGCCATCCGCGTCGGGGAAAGCAGATATACCCGGCGAAGGAGACATCATCAGCTGCATCAACTCGCTCTGTAGCCTATATAAATCACAGAACCAACACTGTTAGCTAAGAGATGAAATGTACGGTGAGGTAGTGGTAGAGGTGGTTTGCTTTGGTCGCTGGTTTAGTGCCAAAAAACAACACAAAATGGTATCGCCTTGGGTTAGCCTTGTTCTGACTATACCATCCGGGAGCTTATGGAAAAGAAGAATTTTGTCCCCTTGTAAATATAGCTAGAACGCACCGTTTGGAAACATTTTGGGTGTCTGTACTCCCAGGTCCAATACCCAATTTCGACGTCTCCAGCGTTGTGGCAGAATCTGGACCGGAGTTTTGGGTGTCTTCCATGTTGTAATCCATAGTTCTGTAGCTTGAAAGCCCTTGTTCTAAAAACAAGAACGACAGTGGTAGCAAACGAGGGAAATACAAAGAATGGCTCTTATGTAGCAGTTGGGATTAGGTTTGCTATCGGAATTGAGTAGTAGCACAGAGCTCAGCTGGGTGGCGGGGGCAGAACCGGGATTTTGAATTGCTGCTCTGACAGAGCTGACGGTCGCCTTATGGTCCAAAAGAAAGGGAACAGGAGGCAAAAAGACGAAGGATTGTTGGCATGACCGATGCACTTGGGGAGCGGAAGAAAGTGTTGTTCGAGTGTGCCAAAGTGCTTGGTTCTGAATGAAATTGATCCATGTGTTTTTGTTTACCCGGGCAACCAACAGACCCAAGATGCGGTTGGCCAGCAATCCTCCACTAAAACGACCCACAGTTGACAGCAAGACACGAGAGGATGCAAATCCGCTGGGCATAAGTTGCCCAGCGGCTGCTCCTCCACACGTGATTAGTGTATTTAGAAATTAGCTAGCTTCTTCCTCCAACCAATGAAGAGTCAACCATCCCACAAAATCATTCATGTCAAAGGGTCACCATCTAGCGACTCTGGCCACGGGCGCGTCTCCCATCACGGCGCATTTGAAACACTATTTTGTCCATCCTTGACCGACATCCAAGCAGCTGTCCCGGTATCTAGAAGCTGTTGAGACTTCGAATTTTCCGATTTTGCTGTACCCTCCCGATAGTTGGGAACGAAAAAAAAAAAAAAAAAATTAACGGAGCATGCTGTGCCGCACCAACATCTGACTTGTCTACCCCAATTCTTTCTTGATGGGTGGTCTGATCTTCCTGGTGGTCTCTCTAAGCAGTCCTTTTTTTTATTTTTATTTTTATTTTTTTTTGGGGGGGTGATACTAGCTAGCTTCTGAAACTCGTTCCCATGAAGCACTCTCAACTCGCCCCGCTCCCCAATGACCTGCCATTCCGGATAGTGTCGAAAACAATCGGACAGGGCGCATACGCATGGTATATTGATATGTCATATTCTCCGCACTGTTTACGACTGGATAATAATAACAACATACAAAGCTGACGTCTTCCGTGCTTTTCCCCGCTCGCAGTATCAAAAGGGCCTGTCCGCTACAAAGCGACACGCCTGTATTTGCAGTAAAATTTATCCACAAGGATTACGCAGCTCGACATGGGCGCATCACTAGTAAACAGCTGCAGATGGAAGTGGCATTGCATAAACACATTGGACGGCATAATAACATCATCTATTTTCACGAAACGGGCGAGGATGACTGTTGGCGCTGGATAGCAATGGAATTAGCGGAGGGGGGCGATCTGTTCGACAAGATCGAGGCGGATGAAGGGGTGGGGGAGGATATTGCGCATGTCTATTTCTCCCAGCTAGTTAATGCGGTTGGATACATGCATTCCAAGGGTGTTGCTCATCGAGATATCAAGCCCGAGAACATTCTTCTCGCTGCGGATGGCAATTTGAAAGTAGCTGATTTTGGATTAGCCACGTTGTATGAATATCGGGGGGAGACGAAACTGAGCACGACGTTGTGTGGCAGCCCCCCTTACATCGCCCCGGAGGTCGTCAAGTGCAGCAGCAGAGGTAAGTCAAAGGGCGGGGGCTACAGAGCTGACCTCGTGGATATCTGGTCCTGTGGAGTGGTGCTCTTTGTTCTCCTTGTTGGGAATACCCCCTGGGATAGCCCAACGGATGAGAGTTATGAGTTTGTTGAGTATGTGCAGACAAACTCTAAACCGTCGGATGTGCTTTGGGAGCGCCTACCAACCGCTGTTTTGTCTCTGCTTCGAGGAATGATGAAGATCGACAGCACCAGCAGGTTCTCCATGGAAGATGTCCGTAGACACCCTTGGTTTACACGACAGAATCCCTATTTGTCTCCAGAGAGCAAGCTGGCAAATCCCCTCAATCTAGCCACGACCATGTTTGAATCACTTCATATTGATTTGAATAGAGATCCATTGACCCTATCCTCGCAACCTACATCCACCACTGCCACAGATGCCATGGATATAGATGGATCCGAGTCGGATATGAAGCCTAAATTTTCTTCCACCCAACCAGAAAACCCAGTCGAGGACACCCTGGATTGGGACGGGCCTCCTCGCCTCACTTCACATTGCACCTTCTCCCAACCAAAACCAATGGATACAGATCATGTTATTCTACTCACCGAACGCCTATCTGAGGATCCATCCATGTCTCAGTTTTCTGCAAACCCATCCGTCCCTCTCAGTCGAACTCAAAATGCACAGAAATTCCAGGATATTGTCCCTGCATCTCGCCTTACTCGCTTTGCCTCAGCATGGCCGCTCAGCCTGCTAGTTCCGCGTGTCTGCGAAGCGCTACAAGTCCTGCACGTGCCGGCATCCCCGACATCGTCTGAGCATGCTGATTCGATACTCATACGGGTACGCACTCAGGATGACAGGAAGTGCCCCCTCCATGGCAATATTATTATTGAAGGCATTGCAGATGGACATGCGGAAGTTGAATTTGTAAAAATAAAAGGTGACCCATTGGAATGGAGGCGATTCTTTAAGAAAGTGGCTGTCTTGTGCAAGGATGCCGTATTTAAGCCAGATACCTAGTTGCTGAATGCATATATTGTGCAGGGAGCGAGTGTTGGAATGAAAACTTGATGATCTGTGTGATTGAATGGATAACGATAATCATAAAAATGGCAAATATTTTTGAATTATCTTTATTGATTGATCTTCTGTCAATTCTATGCTCATCCGTCTTAAAAGTAGATATTTATCCATAGAATGGCCAGATATTTATTCGACACGTGATCTTAAACCCGAGCTGAAGTGATGGAATATATTGAACTTGGACGTGAATTTATCTGCGATGCATCCCTTGCTTGCGTCTACATTACCTATATCGTTGATTCATGGAGAAGCTACCAGTAGAGCTTGTCTCCCGGATAGTTGAATGTAAGCCTTCCGAATATCCGACCCTTCATCAACCTTGGAGCTGACCCATCAACACTAGATGTCGAACCGAATGAGCTAGCGAACCTCCAGCTTGTCTCGCGCCGCCTCTTTGACATCTGCCGTGACAATCCGATCTGGCGACGGCACTGCTACGAGGCAGCTCGCAACAGATTGCAAATCCACAAATCTTTGTTTGGTGCCATAAGGTCTGAAACTGCTACTTCCTTCTTCCCTGCAACCGTGCCCGGCTCACAAGGTAACAGAAGCAGCAGAAACAGCAACAACCAAGGTGGCATCCTGGATGTTATAGTGCGGACACAGGCTCAGGGCAGCGGCACTGTCGATCGGTCAGAATCTTTCCTTGAAAATAGATTGGGGCGTGACCAGTGGATCAGCCAATGGGATTCTTCCTACAGTGGAGAGGAAATCGACTGGTATTCTGAGTACATCGCGCGGAATGTTCCAATCTCAGTTCACTGGCTGCAGGAACCGGATGCTGCTGGTAATCACAATGGAGACGCAGGGATCATTAAACCTGAAGTCAAGGGAATGGGGCTGATGAAAGATCGCAGTTACGGGGGTGCTGATAAGATAATTGGCCCTCTGGATGACGGCACGTTATGCCTGTGGGATCTTAACCGTTCGACTTTAAGTGAACGAAACTCAAGAGGAAGGATCATCGGGACCAGCGCACCTGGGATCCTTACTACAGATATGATGCGAAGCAGGGCTACGTTCTCATCCTCAAACGCGCCTATAATCGATTTTATCGGGGTCGGGGAGTGTGTTAGCGTCGATTCATTCCGGCAAACTGCTTATATCGCCGTAGGGCACATCTTAAACGAGGTTGATCTGTCCACCCTGCAAGTGATCTCGCAGAAGAAATTCCCTTGGTCGATATTTGCCCTTTCTCAGGAAACTGAAGAGTATTCGGCGCCGCTAACAGTGGGAACGACGCGGAGCCTTCACCTCTATGACCCTAGGATCCGCTCACTAGACTCTAGGATATGCAGCCCCGTAGCTCCAGACAATGACAGATACGTATCTTTGCTCCAACCCATTCCTCTCTCTATATTACACTCTCCTCTACCAAATATAAACTCATTCGCCATTGCCGGACGTTTTTCTGCGATTCTACTGTACGACAGGCGCAACTTGTCAGGTGTTCTAAGTATTGCACATTCGGGGTCAAGTATAAGTAGCTTAGCTGCCCTCCCGATGTGTCCTCAACCATACGCATCCAGCCGGCCCCAGCTACGAGGTAACCACACTATAGTTGCATGTGGCGAATACAAGGGACGTGGCTCTCTTGAGTTGTTTTCGACTAGCATGCCCGCCAACTCCGGAGACTACGGGAGCCAGAGGCGTCCGATGCTTGTAAAGGAGGCAATCTGTCAGAATCGACAGAGTGCCTCAGGCTCAAAGCTTTTGTCCGTGGCGACCCATGGGACCCGAATTGTCTTCACTGATGCCAACGGGAATATAAAATGGGTGGAACGAGATGGTCGAACCGAAGTACGACGATGGAACTTGAGCATGGATGCCATCTCTCGCAAACGTCGACGAGCTCCGCTGGCTCCGCATAGATTGAACACTTTTGATTTAGAATACTGGCCTGGCGAACATGAGATTGGTGGTTCAGATATCGTTCGCAAAATCCTACCGACCGGATATAATGATGTGCTTGACGATGAGCTCCTCATATGGACGGGGGACCGGATTGGTCGGCTGCGGTTTTCAGATAAGCCTGGCCGCGACTGGAACTATGAAGCAGAGATTTATCGAGAGGAAAGGGAGGCTGCAAGACGTGAGAACGAACGTAACACGATTGCGTACGAGGAAGCTGTTTGTCGATCGCTACAGACTCAGCGAGAGGAACTGACGTGGATGGGAGCCTTTGGGATTGGAAGCTGATATATGTATATATAATTCTTAATTAATTTTTGACTATCTTGTTTCACCCTTTCGGTTGAGATTTCATGGTGAATACATATGACACGGATAAAATCTTGGTATTACGGAGTTTGACGGTGTTTTTGAAAGACGGTTTTTCCTAAATGTTCCTTTTGTATACGATGCGACCTGTGTTTATATTTATCTGATATCGGTAGCTACTATTTCTAAATTCACCCGACAATAGACAAACATCTTCATTGCCTAATCAATAGGCAATTTTGGACTTATCGACAGCTGTGGAGCGTTTGTCTAAACCTGCCATCCATATTTGCAAGTTGACGTAGAACTATATATATTTTTCCTTTTTTATAGTTAACTGGTCTGGGAAATATGTATACATCCCCATTTTTGGGAAATCCGAGTGGATCCACTATGTTATATTCAAATTTCTCTGCATCGTGTGATGTATAAGGAACTTTTTTTTTTTGGTTTGCTCCGAGTTGGCATTGTTAGGTCCGAGGTTCATTGTGGCATGTGGCGGGAATTGGATAATTCCGCGTGCAGTTAAAGATTTCCCCGGATAAACCGCTCAACGACCTATTTATTTTTATATTTATTTTACTTTATTCAGCTATTGTGCCTATTGTTTTTGGATCAAGCACTACAATTTGCTCAAGATTCTGTATAAGTAGTTGGTTAATAGAGAGAGCTGGACAACACGAGATACCTATGAGTCACGTGCTGGTGAGGCCGGCAGTCCGCAGGAGGAACGTCGACAAAACAAACTCCCTCTTGACTGCTGCTGGCTCTAAACTAGAGAATAAACGGGAAATTACTTATAGAAGTGATGTAGTATACATTCCATTTAAATTAAAAATCCAGATCATTCAAAACACTCACTCCAGTGAGCAGTCGGGGTTATAGTCGGATGTGGTTTATAATGAACCTCTGTCCTCTGGCCTCTTTTAACTCCTCCGCAACATCCCCGAGGAATACCACCACAAATATCCAATTCATCTGCGAATACTCCGTATCACCGGACTCATTTATTTCACCTTTCGTCTTAATTCCCAAGCCGCCCGTAACAAAACATCTTTACTTCCCTTATTTTTATCAGCCCATTTTTGTCATCTCGCGCCACAAATTACCAATCCCGTCTTCCCGGCAGACTAAACTTTTCTGCTATCGAACGTCCCCGCAACGTTTCGGACCGAGCAGAATCTACAACCTCCACAACGACCCAACTCCTAAAAAAGCAGGCCTTTTCTCAGCTCCTCCTTTAGCTCTCTTTGACTGTCGTGGACTCGAAGCGACGATTCCCCCGGAAATTGGGTGATCAAGTTTCCAGGCTTTTTTCAGTTTATTTTATTTTTTATTTCGCTTTTCAAGCATCCCCGCCTCTGTTGCAACATATCTACACAGAAAAGAGTCTGGCAGGTGGCGGGGCCACACGATTCCGCCTCGATGATTTCAAAAGCAGATGAGAGTCTGCGCTTCAATACAATTGAGGAGTCGATAGAGGCGTTCAGTAAGGAGACATCTCTGTTTCCCCCATTTCCGTCGAAGCACCATGAGCCACGAAAGTTCACTTGTCCTCAGCGGAGTCCGACCCTGAAAGGATTCGTTCAAGGATTGACGCAAACTACTATAATGAATTTGAGATAAACTAACATGCGCGTTTTCCGGTGACTATAGGAAATGGCGAATTCATCGTAGTCCTCGATTCAAAAAACCGGGAGAATGAGGGCGACCTAGTCATAGCTGCGGACTCGGTGACTGCGGCGAAGATGGCATTTATGATACGATATAGCAGGTATGTGCTGCGCAACACATATTGCTTCCGTATATTATGATGTCCTATTTTATACTTTTCATTCTATGCCAGAATTCCCCTTTTTTTTCTTGTTGTACCAAAAGATAAAAAATTAGTTAACCCAAACCAACATCCAACAGTGGCTACATTTGCGCACCAATCCCCCCCTCCCTTTGCACGAACCTGAACCTCCCTCAAATGGTCTCCGAAAACGCCGATCCAAACGGCACAGCCTACACAATCTCTATTGACGCCACAGACCCCACCGTGACCACTGGAATCTCTGCCTACGACCGTGCCCTGACCTGCCGCACTCTCGCACGCCCCGACGTCCAACCCACCGACTTCCGTCGTCCTGGACACATCTTACCCCTCCGAGCCAGACCTGGTGGCGTCCTTGAGCGACCGGGACATACAGAGGCGGCCATTGACTTCTGCCGGTTGTCGGGGAAGCCGGAGGCGGCGGTTATTTGTGAGTTGGTTGAGGATGGAGTGGAGGTGGAAGGGGTGCCGGCTCTGGAGGGGAATGGGATGATGAGGGGGCGGAGATGTTTGGAGTTTGGGAAGAGGTGGGGTTTGAAGGTGTGTACGATTGAGGATTTGAAGGAGTATTTGCGCAGGGAAGAAGGGAAGGGGAAGGGGAAGCCCATGGTGAATGGAAACCATTAGTGGGCGGGAGGTGGTTCTTTAGGGTTTGAGGGAGGAGTGCTGCTGTTGGGACACTGAGACGATTCCATTTTCCTTCAGGTATATATATATATTGCTGTTATGTCCTTTTGTTACCTGTTACCGGGTTCATTTTGTGCCGCGATTGGTGCTCATGACATGGCTGGTGAGTATTTACTGAGTGGACCAACTGTATTGTTTGGAGTTTTTTTTTTTTTTTTTTTTTATTAGACATAAGGGAGAAGTTTTGAACCTGTAAATAAATAAGAACACTCATATCAAATGCACCTCTTAGCTTGAGAATCGATTATCACTTGACTGATATAGTTTTTAACCACAAGAGAAAAATAATAATGCATCATTTTTATCTCAATAAACTCAGCTGCTCTGTCTAAGTTAAGAATAAGATGAAACAAGTATCAAGATGACCAATAATAGAAGATGATGAGAGCAGAAGCACAAACTGAAGAGGCATAATAGCCAGGAGAACATGTGAAATCCACAATAAAACTCAACCCTAGGGTGAAAGCCAAGCACTAGACATGGTCACATTAACTCCGTGGAAACGCAAACAGTAACAGCTTATCAAAGCATTTCGCATCCGTTCCTTCTCCCATTTTAATATGCATTTGTTTCCCTCCAGGATACTAGGGAGGAAATGGATTCTAAAAGGTCCAAAGCACCCGTTAATGCAATGCATCCCATCATCTCTTAAGATGGGAATAGTCCCTCAAGATTCCAGTCATATGCGTATTAGTTGTCTTGCCACTCCTGCGTGCCTTCTTCACTTTTTTATTCTCAACCTTTGGTCTTGGTTTCACTACCTTATTCTTGCTGGTGGGTGTAATGCCAGCCTTTTCCAGTTCCTCAGTGACTGTCTGCTGGTCGGGGATCTTAATTTTCTCCCAGATCGCGCGGAACTCGGGGTCGAAGTGTTGGATGAGGGAGGGGTCATTTGCCCACACCATCTTCGGATGGTCATCCTTTTTATTCCGAGTAACGAGCAGTTTGCCTTCTTTTTCCAACTTGTCGATTGTCTGAACAATGGTGGGCCACCCTTCCCGCAGCTCGCGTACACTCATGCCCTGCGCTGTTGGCTGGGATTGGAGTTTCCGAAGCAGCTGCTCCGCAGTACGGATGTCATGTGGGGGTTTAAAACGAAACGTACCCTCACCGTTGGCACCTGAGGGATCATATTGTACTTTCTCATGAGACTGGAGAATGCGTTTTAGCGCCTGAATGTAACCAGGGTCATGACCCTGCTGGTGTAAAGACAGGTAGGATAGAATGTCAGAGAACTTGAGGGAGTAGTCTTTGCTTTTCATGTGGTCGATTGCGAACACAACTTGGGTCATGATATCCTTTCCCGTGCCTGTGTTTACCGGTTGCGAATAGACAGTATCTGCATCATGGCGGCGGCCATTCGCCGCGGACGCGGCAGAGGAGTTGGCTTGTGTGCTAGCAGCTGCCGCTATGGAAGACGATCCTGCAGCGGCAAGGATACTTCCAGCTGCTCGTCGGTCTTGTGGAAGACGGGTTGCAGCTGATTTGACGCTGCTGTTGAACGAGCTGATCTGATTCTGGAAGTACGACATCGTGAACGGGATGGGCCTGCGGGAGAGTGATGGACAAGGAGAGGCTGTAAGCCGCTGCTTGGTGCACGCTACGAGTCAGGCAAAGGCTTCCGCATGGTCTGGAAGCTGGCAATCTCAGCTAGAATGCAGACGGATAAAAGTAGGCGTAAATGACAGGCCTGAATGTTCTGTCAAATCGGTTCAGCGGCGCTAAATAAATTGGTGATGGAGGATGGTTAATCTCTTGCATTGCAGGGAGAAGCCACCAATTCTATATACTCCTGATCACGTGTTGGGAGGCCCGGGACAACTGCTAATCCGTGTATCCCATCGTGAGCGTTAAGTAGCCGCTTACCCCGTGACCAGCTTTTCGTCCTTGGTTGCCCAAAACGGTTGTTAGGCGCGTGAAATAAACCAACAAAACTACAACAAGCGCTAAAAGATCGTGGAGGCTCTCTTCAGCCTACGAAAGGTCACTGCACTCATCACTGCTGCGTCACTTTCCTTCGAGTTGCGGATACTCTCACCACGATGAGATAAGGCTTCTTGCTCAGGCGCTGTGTCTTACAGCTTTACTCGCACAAGGCAGTAGCCGCCGGCCTCCGTGATTGTGAGCTCTGCGACCCTTGAGCTCTCAAAAGGGAAAAAAAAAACCAACTTCCCACCTTCAGATCCCCACCCCCCTATCCACTTACGATTAGCTTTTGACCATAAGGATACACACTCTGGTTTGCAGCTATGGCTACGGCTGTGGTCGATATACCGTTCCTCTCCTCCCATTACTCTATTCTCGAAACTACCCTTACATCTTTGTCACAGAATCCGACTGTTGAACTAGTCAACCAGCTCCTAGACAGCATTTCTACCAAGGCCCGTGAGACAGAGGGACTCAGGTCCGATAAGCTACGACTGGACGTTGAGCTTGAAAATGCTGTTCGCAGCGGTGAATCAAAAGTCAAGGTTCT